CAACACGTTTTAAGGCTGTCTCTTTAAATCCAAATGAGCCGCTTCACACTCCGCCCCCCTCCAGCTTCCAGACCAGTTCATTCTTCTATGAGAGAGGGGTTTAGAGGCACAAAAATGTTTTATTTATACATCAGTTAAAGGCACAATAGAAGACTTGTCTATCCATATTCTTACTCCCCCCATGTCAGCATATTGACACTTGGTCAGGTAGCCTTTTGCGTCCAGTTTTGACACGCCTGGTACCCACCGCACATCAGTTTTTTACGAGATGAGGCAGAGGAGGACGGGTGCGTTGTTCTATTATTGTACAAGAGTAGGAAATGCACGAAACTAACCATCCCAGACCCTAAATTTAACTTTTATTAGCCCTATGCAGCCTGTCCCAGACCTCAGTACCTAAAATTAACCATTAACCTTGATCCCTCATATTAAACATTTTTTAAAATGTAGAGAATGCGCGAGAATTAACCATCCCAGACCCTAAATTTAACCTTTCATTTTTCAACATTTTCACTCCTGGAGAAAGTGCACAACCAAATGTATCTAATCTCTAAAAAGGTGGATTTTGCATCATGTGTTCCCTTTAAACCAGTTTAAATGAATGACTCTGAAATTAATCATTGAATGTCCATGATTCATGTGTGAACTTGGAGTTAGCCTAATTCAACATGGCCGCCACAGTGTTTAGCTTAGCCGCCAGCTTAAATTCAATGAGTGCTATCCCGTTTTGCAAGATTTTACAATACTGAATGAGGCCATGCACATAACAGCATTTACAAGGCTTGACAACAACAGCTATAACTCTATGACAGTGGGCAATAAAAAATATGCAATTTGTTGTAGTTAGCAGGTGTTTTCACTCAGGAAGCTATCCCTTTTTTCAGGGGCAGAGAGGGGAATTTTTTTGAGGAACGGAGAGGCGAGTTGTTGATGCTCATTGGGCTGAAAAGGTTCACAGTAGCATCTAGACAGAGTCTCTGCAGTCTGTCTAAATGAGGACTGAACTCTACCGATCCTCAGTCAGACATGCTGCACACAAATCAAAACCATTTCAGGCCTCATGCCTGGAGCAAGGAAGTGACTGCATTCCAACATAAGAAACTGCCACATCTGCAGAACATCCTTCAAGTCTGTTGGCAGCGTCTGGGCCAAGTCAATATTATCATTTACTGTCCAGTGAATTCTAGATTATAACACAGGATTCTAAAGGAAAATAACAGAAGGTGGATCAGGCACAATGAAAACTAAAGTACAAAGTTCAGGATTGGCCAAAGCTTTTGTTCTGACTATACCCAGCAGGAAATGCTGCTAAAGGATTTTAAATGAGCCACTCATGTGAGGAAACATCCAAGAGTCAAAGCTGTTCAGTTCAGAGGAATGACTTAAGATTTCTGAGTTGAAGTGCAAGATTGATGGGTTGTCATTAATTATTACTGCCTATTGTTGCTGCGCAAGGATCTCAAAGCAAACATTTATAGGTCATGTTTGTGCAAGAGAAGATTTCATAAAATTTCAAGCACCATTTCATGAACGCGAAGCCTGAAGCCTTTTAGCTCGATTTAGCACAAAAACTGAAATGACATCTTCAAAGCTCACTAATTAACACTTTCTTATCTCCTGTGTTAAATCTGCACCAAAAGCAAAGTGTGTAAAAAGTTGTTTCTGCACGACTTACGGTGACAACAAGACTCCAGCGAGCGCCTGAACGTCGATTCATATTTAATTGGCAGATCTGTGGTTGATTCCATTTTCTCATCTATCTTTCAGCTCCAAAACCATATCCCAAAACGTTGAACTTTCTGTTAACTTCGCTCGTTTTTTTTTCTCTCGAGTTGGCACACAACCGCAAGTGACCCCCTTCATGTAAAAATAATAAATCTCATGCCTGTGAGCTGCAGGCCACCTTCATCAGGGAAGCAAAATGACTAGCTGCAAGTAAAAACAAACATTTTACCACTTGTTTTCAAAAGAGACTTAACCAAGACGGCAGGAAAACATACAGTAAATATTGTACGGAACAAAAATACAAATCAGCACATTAGGGACTGACCAAACACAGTGACCAAAAACTATGCTGTTGTTTTTAAACTTCCTCACAGCAACCATTCCAAGCCTTTTTTAATGATTGCAGAAATCAACAGTACATTTATTTATAGACTTTATTCTAATTCAGTTCTGACTCTGCAGACAAACATTTGTTCTATCATGGGAGTATAGTTTGTACTGACTGTGGTATTTACACTTATAAACACACAGATAAGAAGGTACCAGCTCAAGCCAAGGTTTGAATGTAAAAAAACAGCCAACGGGAAGGTCTGGGTCAGCCAAGGACAGCCATTTAACAGCAACAAACTGAGAACAGCGACGTACACAGTTTTCTCAGCCAGCAATAAAACACAAATGGTAGACAAAATCCAACCTGAAATAATCTAATAAGAAGTAGGTAATCAAATAAAGGCAAAAAAGTTGAAGAAATCTAATTGTATCACTGTAAAAGGAGAAAAAGGTTTATTAATAAAAAAAACAAAAATCCTTATTTAAGTTTCAACTTAAAGTGCCTCTGACATGCACATCCTTCAAATACAAAAAGTCAAATAAAACGTCTTTATATTTAAGAAACTTGACAATACACACGGTTTTATCCATTTTGTTGCATAAAGGGCATATTTTCTCAGGAACTTGGCTCAGTAAAACGGAAACAGGAAGTGACATCAAAGAGGGAATCTTAAAGACAGGGAACACTCAGGTCTTTTTTTTTGAAAAAATAATATTTGAACTCTGACTTTTCTTCATCTCTCTCTGACAGGGATTTAAAATGATCTAAAGAAACATCAGATATTTCTGTCTGTGTTTTTAGCCATCATAGCAATGCTCTAGACATTCCCCTTTGACATCACTTCCTGTTTTTCACATGCAAATATCTCAACAACTGTTCATCTCAGTGATGTGAACTTTTTTTTGCAGTAATTGATCAATGTTATCCTTCCCAAAATGCATTCATGTTTATTACAAAAATGTGGTGTCACAGGCACTTTAAAGTCAAACCAGTGAATATGTGAATATTAAATGACATGTTTTACAGTGGTTTTAAATCATGAATATATTTTTAATAAAATTGTAGTAATTCCACATTTGTCACCAGATATTTACTAAATCGTCACTCAATCACAACTTGTGCATGAATAAAAAAGGTTATCACCTTTAAATGGCTGTCCTTGTTCTTGAAACGAGTGCAGCAGCGCAAACAGAAATGGGCGATGTGTGTGTTCACGAAGCGCACAAAGAGGCTGTTTGGGTTTACAAGGACTCTCAACCAGCTTCATGTAAACTAGCATGAAAATTGCAATAATCAATATAACTCAGTAAATGAATGTGAGAGCAAAGAAATGTTTTCACCGTCGCTTCAGAGCAGCATGGGCCTCAGCTGCTGCTGCTCCTGCCGCTCTGAGTGAGAATAAAGGTGATTCCTGTAAATCTCATTAGCTTCCAAGGAGCCCTGAAATTCTTCTGAGTGTTTGACCTCATATTTTATGCAGCAACACAAGTCTGTACATTTCTAATTAAAGAATTTTGGTCATTTCAACGCAGCTGTGCACATTTAGTGCTGATGAAGATTTAACTGTAACCTGTGCTGTCCCAACATTGATTTAAGCACTAATATGACTTGAAAATTGGAAGGTGGGTGAATAAAAAGCCTTAATTTTTGAGTAACTGGTAACAACTTTTTTATTTCACAAAGTCATGATCCAGTAAAACATATTATGGACACACTAATTTGGGTCAGTTGCAACAAAACATGGCATATAAAACACTATACTATAACCAATGTGCAAGATTGGATCTTTGAATTTTAGTTCAACAAGTGTAAAGTAACAACATTTATCACCAATTTATCAATAATTTACAAGCTTTAATAAAAACTGAACGCTAACTATATGTTTGGGTTTCTTCATTGTAATTCTTTTATTCACAATTAGGATTTTATTGTGTATCGTTCAGGACAAATAATTTGCTCATGCCTGATAAATGATCTTTTTCTAGTTCAACAAATATGTGTAGATTTTATTCTGTTATGATCATAACTGGATTTGCGTACTGTTTTAAGGACAATGCCATTTCATTGTAAGTTAATTAAATGACTGACTGAATGAATGAATGAATGAATGAATGAATGAATGAATGAATGAATGAATGAATGAATGAATGAATGCTAATAAAAGCATTTTTAAAATATTGATTTGGTTTTATTTTATGAGGACATAAAACCAAATTGTTTTATTTCATTGGGACATATTTATTTGATGGATTATTTGTTAATAATACTTTAATCACTGTTAATCATTTAAGGGGATCAAATAAACTATCAATGCTTTGCATTGTGTTATATTAAACTATTTTTCAGGTTTGACAAGTTTCTTCCAACATCAATGTTAATAATAAAATGTTTGATGAAAAAAAAACCATCTGTTCAAGTATATATCTTAAAGAAGAAATCCAACTGTTTGCTCTCACTTTCCTGAGCAGCATCCAATTGATTCTAACTCTGGACACATATGTCTTTAAATTTATAAGTTCTGGTGAAATTTTAAAAACCACTGCCCACTCTCATGTGGTCTTATGCTGCATACAACTGTATATATGTTATGTTTGGTGAGGTGGAATAAATATCAGTCATTTTGAATCAGAAGCTCATCTTGAAACAAGTCTATTCCTCACGATTTTTTTAGAAAGTAGATTTTGTCAGGCTGTTTTTTTTTTATTAATTCTTTTTTTTCTCTTGCTTTCTCCTTCTTCCACATCTTGCAGGATCAATAAGCCCACGGAGTTGAAAGAAATGACCAAAGCTTTCCGAGCAGTTTGGCGGCTCACGGACCCGCAGCAGTTTTGCGCTCTGACGCAGAGGGGCGCAGTTCCCCCTCCAGGTGCGTCTGTCTCCCTCTCCCCGCACCTTCCCCATCCCATCTCTGTTGCTGCTGCTTCTGGCTGCTACAGCCTCCTCCTCCTCCTCCTCCTTCGTCTTCTTCTTTTCGCGGGGAGAGCCGACTTGATGCGCATAATAAATGAAAGAAGAAGCCCGGTTTCAGACGGACGCTTGTTGGATTTTGGGGGAGCGTAAACAGAGGCGAAAGTCGAGCCTCGTGAAGGCAGGAGGAGGAGGAGGAGGAGGAGGGGTGTTTTAAAATGTGATTCATTTCGGCAAACAACGTGGGTGTGTGTGTGTGTGTGTGTATGAGTGTGTGCGTGTTATTTGCGGGGAGTGGAGGAGAGGAGGCTGAGCCGCGATATGAAACGCATGTGTTTCCGACTCCTGCGTCCTCCGCTCTCTGTGACTGGACCCGGGCTCACCTGTATGAACGACCTTGCGTTTGTGACCGAATTTTTCCTAACGAGATTTCCGTGGAGGATCATCAGCCCGTCGTTTTATTCTGAGGGCTGATTATTGTTATTTATTATTTATTTATTTATTACTCCCTCTGCTCTCCAGATACCTCAGGATAAGGAGGTAAGACAATCACTCTTAATGATAACAGAGCATGCAGCTGCTTTGTCTGATCCTTTCTAATATGTGTGTGTGAAATATTCTCCAAGCTCACATGTCGGCCTGGTTTTGCAGTTCAGAACTGGCCCATTTATGTGTCTGATGAGGAATTGTTTGTTTGTTTTACACTGGCTGTGCCCTCCCAACTGCAGCCTGGTTCTTCCACACTGAGGAAGCAAAAAATTAGACACCCCCCCCCACCTTTCCCCCCCCCCCCTTCCTCTTCAGTGTTTCTTCAGTTCTTGTCTCCTGTGTTTGCCAAAGTGATGTAGGGATGCAGCTCTAACCACACGCTGGGATTTTAGCCTGTGGCAGCTCCTGGTGAGGTGCCACGCTCACTGCAGCCGGGCTTCCCATCATTGTGAATTATATGAACCCACAGGACATCAAGCAATAGATTGGATGGTAGTGGATCAGCCCCAGGTGGATTTGAGTGCCTGAATGCTCTGTGGGGGGGAGAAATCAATCAGTGACGCTCGTTCAGAAATATTTAAAGGCGAAACCACTTTTTTTTTTTTTTAGAAAACCTTGAGAACTAGCAGAGGAACAGGAGGAGGGGAGGGAAAGGTGCTGACACACATTTACACACAGCACTTTTTTTTTTTTTTTACCTTGCAACATTCCCCAGGTAATTGCATACTCGTGTGCCACAACATCAGCTTGAATACCTCTGATGTAAGCAGCTGGGGCCTTCAGACAAAGTGATCACCGACTCTTCCAGCTTGGCTATTTGTTCAAGCAGCGTGTTACTCGGACATTATGGTTGTGTTTTGTGTGTCATTTTTGTTGTGTCATTTAAGCCACTACTGGTTCGGGATTGGACGTTTTGGATGGAGAGTGATTCAGCCTCCTCTCCACCTTCTATCCCCATTATCCAGGAGCACAAAGTGTGAATTGTGTGTGTCTATATGTGGGTGGTTGGACCACCTGTGTGCTTGCATCAAGCTGTTTGAACAGTTTTATAGAAATGGAACACAAAAAAAACAAAAAAACAGAGCATTGCATTTGGAAATGACTGATTATGATCTGCATTCGAAAACAGGAATCACGTGGGTGGGTTTTCCGGTGCGATTCCTTGGCAAAAACCCATTACGCTTACAAAACCATAGCATGCAACATCAACAGGAGGGTACTATACCAACTGCACCCTCTCCACCACCAAATCCTGAGTCCTGAGGTGCCAGCAGTTGGCACACTGTAAGCCTATCAGTGAGGCAGTAGGCATGCAGGACTCTTCTGGAGAGCGAGCGTACCAATCCAATTTTGCAGTCTTTGGAAGGGAAAGAAGAAGAAGAAAAAAAAAGAGTCAGAGCAAACATGAAAGGTAGAGAAGAAGAATACTGGCTGAGACCCCACATGTCTGATTTGACATCCAGGCAGCTCACAAACAATTAGGCTTTTCTATAAGTAGTGCTCCGAACCAGGCTCGCCTCAGGATTAGGCCACAAATGAGCCGCACATCATGGCTTAAATATCTCCTAAATGGAAAGTGAGTGCGTATGTGTGTGTTAGCGCGCTTGTGTGTGTGTGTGTGTGTGTGTGTGTGTGTGTGTGTGTGTGTGTGTGTG